GATTAGCGCTGGCTCTGTCTCAGCAGCATCTGCTGGAGGGGACAGAACAAAACACCAAAATAAAAGCACTATCTTCCAACAGTGGCAACTATTAACATCAACAAAGAAACATGGACAGATTCAGAAATTGAGAAAGAAAGAATGAATTTATTCCATACTATAACCCTGAAGCAACAAACTGATCGAAATGCTGACCTTAATGCACAGACACTTACTGTAATAATGCTGAGAAACCGAGTGGGAGGATTTTAAGCTGCAGGACTGTTTCTAAATGCCACACTAAGGTGCCAAATCTACTCAGCTGAAAATCAGCAGAACTGCTGTATGTAGGGGATAATAAGCTGTCATCACCTAGTGCTTTTCTGTATTTTCTTGGTTTTTCAGATCTGGAAATACCGTGCATTGAGACAAAAAATCAGAAAGTCTGTATAAAACTCTCAGTTTTACAGACTTCACTGTGTTTGATTTTGCTGGGAATAGACAGGTTGGAGACTCTACTTTTTATTCCTCAGTGTTAATACAGACCACAGGAGCAACTTTTATTGTACTGCAGCAGTTAGTGGAGATGGAGGACATGTCCTGCACCTGAAAAGCCACAGGTCTTCAGCCTGGCTGAGGGGTTGGTAGGCTGGGGTTGGAACTGTGTTCCTTCTCCATCACATAAGTTGTATTTTCTGTGTTTTATCAGTATTCAGCAAACTTGATGCTACCTGTCCAACCCTGTCTCCTAAAAATGATATTAACATACAGTTAATTTGCCCAAACAAATACATGTCATGTATACAGTACTTAAATGTGTAATAAATTAAATATTTAAACACATTGCGCCTGACCTTCATCTGATCTTGAAGCTCAGAGGATTTAGGGTCAGGCCTGGTTAGTACTTGAATGGGTGACCACAGGTACAGTAGCTACACGCAACCACTGGGGCCAAACAAGCCAGTGCACGCTTTGTGTCGATCGCAAGCCCAGATAAAGTGGGAAGGTTGTGTCAGGAAGGGCATCTGCCATAAAACTTGTGGAGTCACCCATTTAAAACACAGGGATTTGCATATGTGAAGAAGACACTATATTTAAATTTATGCCATGATGGTGCCGCAACCTGTTGTGGACCAAACATGTTGTCTGTGTTTTTTGTATTACTTGTCTTGTAAAGAAAGAAGTGTACAGTTTTTTTATGAATTTACAGAACTGGTGTTACATCCTGATAATGTCTGATATGCTCCAATTTGTTGTAATGCTCTGTTGTAAAGACCTGACCACTGAATGTCACCTTTCATCAGTGGTCTGACTCACTTCTGACAACGTCTTTAGTGACGTCAGCTGTGAAGATGCATTAGTCTGTGTTCCTTAAAATCACTAATATACAAATAGCTGAAGAGAAAAGCTGCCATTTACTTATTACAGGTCAGTGCCACTAGAAGCTCTGTTTCTGTAGCTTATCTATTAAGTAAATTAGATGTCAATGGTAAACAGTTTTAGTATACAAATGACAAATGACCACACTGTGCAGGTCCTTTACAAAGCCACTACACTGAGTAACACAAGATGATAAAGGAAGCTGTTCTTGAACAGTACCCAGTTTCTAAATGGCCAGCCTGGTCGAGTGCATCATGCCCATGTCAGGGAACAAACAAATAAGATGAAGTGCTCTCTCAAAGTCAGTAGAGAGGACAACCACACTAGCTCCCAACAAACAATGATAGATGAGCAATACATGATGGTGTGGGCAGAGAACGGAGGGAGCGTTCAATTAGTACAAGGAGAAATGGCAGTTTAACGGTACGGCAAAAGAAGCTGGCAGGCATTAAGAAGTGCCAAATTGAAAACTCATACATCTCAGATAGCTGACAGCCTCATTCCCTTTCTCAAATTGGTCACAAATTTATGATTTTCCATAATTGTTCATGTTTTGACACCTCATATTTCAATCTAGAAAATGAATGAGAGAAAAGTACGCTTGGGGGATTTTTAAAGTAAAAAGAATTTAAGGTGCTCCCATGTGAAAAATTTACTCTAACTGCTAAAATTGGGAATTCAGCAGCACACTCATCCCGTCACCTCTCAACTTTGCCACTTGGCTGCTGGATTTGTGACACACTAGAGGTTGTGTGCCAAGCTTTTGTGAAGAGTTACACCTTCAAAAGCACTCTGGGCTGGACTCATGAATATTTATCCACTGATTAGGTGCCCTGATTTATCAGGCTGTGACAGAAAGGGATGATCTGCCTTAAGGAGTTGAGGCATGCACAGAGACAAAGGTATGACTCTGTTAATGTAGAGCCTACACTTCACATAATAGGCTGTACATTAGAGAAAATATTCACTGTGGAAACAAGATACTAGAAACTTCAGTCATGGGGTTTTTAGTTCATTGATTCAATGACTGCATATAGGAGCTGCATAAGCATGCCATGGAATACAGTGGTTACTGTTCACTTGGCTTTATAGCCTACAGTATTTGTGCTGTTCAATCCAGGAGGACTTTGAAAAACATTAACAAGGACCAGAATAGAAAATGTATTGTAAAAGTATTGAATCTTTTAGAGTAATGTTTTGTTTTGTATTGTCTGTAGCTTCTATGCTGCTGCCTTGGTTTCCCTTTCAGAAGACCCTCAGTGAGACTTAAAGTATATACAAATATTAAAACAATGCAAGGGAGCGCAATAGTTGGGGTTTGTTGGTTCAGCTGAGTTGAGACATTGTAATCCAGGTAGTCCACGCTGAGCAACAGATCCATGAGTCTATGAGAAGATTAATCAGATACCAAAACATTGCACACTGGTTTGTAGTACAGTACAGTTTACACGTAGAGCATAACCAAATGAAGAGGGATTAGTGTAGTTATACTAAAATCAGTACCATTAGGATGCAGCGTCTTTGTTTTTTTGCACTGTGACTATACCAGTACTCGAGGTGATCCTTAGAAGAGCTACTTTAATACTTTTGTTTTAGCGGTTTTCAAGATGTCTATTGTCACTTTGCCTTCAACAATATTTAAATCAAGCCTATCAGTAGTTCTTCTTTGTATTAATGGTGCTCTCTCCATCCTTGAACCCTTTTTAACTGTAAAGAAAGGCATATTTAACAGATGAAACCATGTTACATTCCTCTTTAAATAAGCCGCCTGCGTACATGACGATTTCCTGATCTGCCTTGACCCCAAGACCACCACCTGTTGTCTGCTGGTTTATTTACAACAGAGATATTTTTCTAAGGTTCACACTGTCTCTTGCTTTTCTGTTGAAATATTTGAATTTGGAAAAACTCAATTTATCAGGTTGTTCTAAATTTCCTGTTCTGTAATTTTAAGAACTGATTCTCACAAATTCAAATTTTTTTCTTGAAAGACTTTGTAAGGTGCATAACAGAGTGCAAAAGGTTATTTTCATACTGATGTGCAGATAGTTTAAATGAATTACTAAATGGGTACAAATAAACTGAAAGGCTTATTTCAAACCTAAAAAGTTGGCTTGAGTACAGGTTGTCGTCACCAGAAAAATGGCAACATTTAAATACTTTAAAAAAAAATCATCCCTCCTGTGGTCATGTAAATAACAACTGTTGTTTGTCAGGACCTGCTGAAAAGCACTTTTCTACACTTGGTAGAAAAGTTGGGTTTTGATAAAAGCAAAATGCAGAAACAGATTTAGCAAATCAGCATAGATGTACACGAAGCAAGAGTTTTACAGGTCCCCTGCTTCTGCTCCACTAGAGAGGCCACAACCAGCAGTAGACAAAAACATCAGATCTGTGTGGATCAATGAGGAGACTGCAGTGGTTCCTGGATTAATATATGAATAGCTTACTTTTCAGATCTTCTAACTGCATTTACTAGGACATATGTACAGGAAATCCAACTTTACATATATAAAATAAGTTAAATGCTACTCAGATTTTGTTGCATTGTAAAAGACATAAACATGATTCTTGGCTGCAGATGTAGAGTAGTTTTACAATCATATGTTCTAAATATTTAATGAAGGATATTCGTGTGATGGGATAAAAAAGATTTAGTGATCTGAGCTACCAAGTAATGCTGACTACGTTTATTTTCTACACAGCTCTTTCACATCCAAACTGTGAAAGTCGGACAAATGCAGAATGTTAAAGATACAATATGTAACTTTTTTTTGTCAAACATTTTTGTTGTTGCTCCAAAACTTGTCTTAATGTGGAGAGGTGTTGTCACAGCCTCCTGTGGCCCAGACTCATTGAACACATTGAAATACTAGCTAAAAGCTTTCAAGTGAGGTTGACCTTTCTGGCTAATCAGAGATTTGGAATTATTTCTGCTTGATCAGGAAGTTTTGTTGCGTTCCCATTTCTTATCATTTCACACTGACAACAAAGAGCTGGGCATAGCAGAGTGGAGCATAGTAGAGCGTAGTGGAGCATGGAGATGGAGTGCTGAGTGGAACAGAGTGGATGATTTGGAGTTTCATGCTAGCACTACCTAGGTTCTGGGTTTGAGTCTTGTCTGACCCCGGGCCTTTCTGTGTGGAGTTTGCATGTTCTCCCTGTGCCTGCGTGGGTTCTCTCTGGGTACTCCAGCTTCCTCCCACAGTCCAAAGACCTGCAGCTTAGGTTGACTGGTGACTCTAAATCACCCATAGGAGTGAGTGTGGGTGTGTGTGGTTGGTTACATGTCAGCCCTGTGACAGACTGTGACGACCTGTCCAGGGCAGACCTCCCCCCCCCCCCCCCCTCCCCCCGTTAAGTAACATACTACAGTTACATACTGTATCTCTACATTCTGAAATATCTTACCTGCTATCAGATGGCATGTTTTGAACTTTTGTGCCCAGACGATGATTCCTACTCACTTTAGTGATCCCTGACTTTTCCTCAAATGCCACCATTAGGCTTATGTTTGTGGTTTTGAGTAAAATGCTTCAGCATCTGTTGGATGGCTGGATGTTTTTGCTATGTGTGCAGTGCAATCTAATGCATGATAATTACAGTTAAAACATGTTTGTGTTTGTTTTTGTGATGGGCAGACTCAGCGCTCCAGAGATAAAATCACCAGATAATTCAAGCCGTGCTCCCTGAAGAGCACAATGGATCCACGGAGCACGTCCACTGAGAAAAGTAATCAAAGACCTCCGACTCACCTCGACGTGCCGCTGCTATCCTTCATGTGCATTCAGCTGCTGTTTTGTTCTTCATTCACTTCGGCCCTCCTTCCCAGCCATCTGAGTGACAGGTGAGATTAAGCACCCTTTGAACTCTATCTGGTTATTGGAGGAGCAGTCTAAATTGAAGCAGTGTTATTTCATGCCACCTTGCTGAGTCAGTGGGAAAGTGGGAACAGGGGGTAGCACTTCTCTGAATAAATAAAGGGCTTTTCAGAGGGAAAAGGTGTTAGGCCCGCTCTCAAATGCATTATACAACAATAGTGAGAATTGGAAAGGAAAATTAGATTAAAAATGTTTTGAACAGCAGCTCTGCTTGCATTTCATCTCTTAGAGGAAAAAAACATGACATCAAAAATATTTTTTCTTCCAAGGGATTTGCAGGAAAAAAAAGATAAACACTGATGAAATGCTTTTTTTTTTATCCACATGTAAATCAAGCAAAAGAATAGATGGTGACGTGTGAAAGAAAAGCAACCAGATAAAACCTATTAATTCTAAATCTAACAGGGAGAGTGCTTTAAAGTGTTCCGCTCTTAATGTTCAGTGACCTACAATGGTCTTGTATTAATGCGGTGGCCTTTAAAATTGATTTCAGATTCAACTTTATTTATGACATTTTGTAATTAGAAATGACCATGAGTTAGTACAATGGTATTTTAGTTGAAATTCAGTCATGATAATAAATTCCTACTGGCATAGGTTTCTCAGAGTGTTTTATCTCTGAGAGTACAGATGCAGCTGTCATGTCATGCTTTGTGCATCAGGCTTTTTGTGGAGCTTATTTAAATTTCTTTGTGTAATTAAAACGAGGTAAGAATTGTCTGGCTGCTCGCCATTTGACAGATTTCTGTGTTCATTAAATATCATGTGGAAAAAAGAAAACATCAGCAGAGATTTCACTTCAGATATTTCTGTTTAGTCCTCAGGGCTCCTCCAGATGAATTCAGGAATTAAATATCTAGGGCACATTTTAAAATAGATTATTACCGAATTTTACCTTTAATGTTCAATTCAGTTCTTCAGTTTTACCTACAATGTTTTAAGCTGTGGACCAGCGTAGCCATTCTACATTTTCATGTGACGTGGGCGTGAAGTTGGAAAAATAATCAAATGCACTTCCCAGATTCTGATTATGGAAATGTGTGGGGACAGTGGGTCCCAGATGCAGTTAAGCCATTTACTGTAACAAGCATTTTAAGAATAATGAGTCTTTACTCTAGCCTGCTTCCTGCAGTTTCACAGTCTCACCCCTGAGCCATCCAAATCTCTTACCCCAAATAATGTCACCTTTCAACTTTATTTTATCCTAACCTCTTGACCAACAACCTTAACCACACCTGAGTTAGTTGGGCAGTGGTTGTGGCTCAGGAAGTAGAGCGGGTCATCTCCCAACCACAAGGTTAGTAGTTTGATTCCCGGCATGTCCAGCTCACATGTCGAAGTGTCATTGAGCAAGACACTAAAACCCCAGTTGCTCTCGATGATGACACCGGTGTGTGAATGGCCAAATAGTGTGAAAGCGCATTGAGTGTGGTGCAATGCATTGAAAAGTGCTATACAGTGCAAGTATGAGACCATTTACCATTGGTGTAGGGTTCCAGGAACGCCATAATGACATGGGCTGACTCGACCTGGTGATTTTCCATCAATTACTTTATCAGGAGACAAAGATCATAGGATATCTTCATACACCAAATCAAATCAAGTCAATTTTATTTATATAGCACTTTAAAAACGACATCCAAAGTACTGACCAAAGTACTTTACATGGCAGAATAAAATCACAATAAATGACTAAAATAGAATAAATAAGATCAGTGCAAAAAAAACAAAAAACAAAACAACACAATAACACAGACACACAGATGACATACATTCAGTAAATTAAAATTAAAAGGAATGCATCAGGCCCTACTGTGTATTAAAAGCCAAGCCAAATAAATATGTTTTAAGCAATGATTTAAAAGTAATGAGGTCAGTAGCTGATCTAACATTAAAAGGTAGACTATTCTACAATTTAGGGTCTGCAACAGTAAAAGCACGGTCACCCCAGTGTTTATATCTGGCCCTGGGAACCTCTAAAAGAAACCTCGGCTTGAAGACCCGAGGGACCTTGTAGGTTTGTGCCAATGCACTAATTCGGTGAGATAAATGGTGCCAAACCATTAAGAGCCTTAAAAACAAAAATCAATAACTTAAAATCAATTAAAACGGACTGGAAGCCGGTGGAGAGAAGCCAGTACCGGGGTTATATGCTTGAATTTCCTAGTACTTGCCAAAAGACGAGCAGCAGCATTTTGCACCATTTGCACCAACACAATGCAAAGCACAAGTTAAAACTCTAAAATAAATGCTTTTTGTTCCCAGGTGGCAGGAACGTCCATACAGACAGTGAAAGCAGCTGTTGGTCTCCACAACATGATGAATACAAATACAAAGAAATCATACGCTGTCTATATATTAACACCTGGGATTTGCCTGCAGCAAACTCAGTAGTCAACTGTCAGATTCTGAATAATTCCACCAGACAGAACTGGGGCTCGAGTGTGTTGTTCAAAGACAAATCTCTGGTCATTTGTTTGAGAGATTGTGATATCTCTTCTGACCACATTCTCTGAGCTGGTTGCTGAGAGTGAAGCATTGATCATTTGCACCCAGTGTAACACTCATTCTCTGCCCCTCCTCCGTCTGACCCTCACAGCAGACAGGCTTCGATCTGCAGGTTTCCCCTCACATCCCCTCTGCTGCTTTTCAAATGTCACTTCCTGCCACAGCAGAACAAAATTCAGGTGTGACAAAACAAATATGACCTTAAATCCACAGTCTGACATATCACATTGTAAGCTACATGAAAATGAAATTTGACTTCCTAATATGAAGTGTTAAAATATGAAAAAAGAAATGTCAATCCTGCAGTTTTACAGCAAAGTGAGGTGAATAGCAATGTGGTGCAGTAAGGGAATTTGGTGTGTTTGCCCCCAACAATCCTATTCCCTGCTGTTTATATTTTACAGGGACAGATAAATGCATAAAAATAAAAAATTCATTGAAAGACTAAAGGATTATAACATTCATGGTCTAAATCAATCTGCAATATTTTGTCCCTGGAAGAACTTTAATTAAAAGAAGCAGCGCATGCCTTGTATGTTGTAAGACAAATACCCATGAAGCTCAGTTCAGCACAAACAGTAGACTAAGTAGAAGATGTTTGAATGAACCTGCAGAATCAAGACTACAGTCATGCAGTGGCTCTGTGAGGCTGCACTTAGTTACAGTGATGTTTTCTGCTCGGTGTCATCACATTTTAGTGCAGCGTAGGGTGTTAGCATCCCAACGTGCTAATTAGTGCTGAACTCAGCTCTGGATGATGGGAATGTCAATAGGTTTTCAAGTATTTTGATCATAAACCAAAGTACTGGATATGTTAAAATGCTGACCTGAATAATGGTGGTCCTAGATCAAAAGTTAGAGAATTACTGTTCCTGCTGGGGGTAAAATGAATATTGACACCAAATTTTATGGTAATCCATTCAAGGATTTGTTGAGATGGTTCACAAAAAACAAACAAAGTGGGATAACCAAAGTCATTAGCCAGTCTATTAGATCAGGGGATCACCAAAGCCTGTCATCTTCATGAGACCATGCTAGACAGTACATGCAATATATCCTATAGTGGTTGAGATATTTTAGTGTGCACTGCCCAGCTGACAGATGCTGTTTTTAGAGATATGCTGCAATGACTGAAAGTACAGTTCCAGGGACTGTGATCACGTCTCAGTCAGTTTCAATTTAAGATAATGATAATTTGAAGAATATTTGAACAGTTACTAAAAGCCCTTGAACAAAAAAATACTGAGGTGCATACACGGAGACACCTGGGAAACTGTATGATTTCAGTTTTTAAACATTAGTGTACTTGAAATTATAGCGCTCTCTGTTTGTTGACTGACTGCACTGTTTTATCAGCTCCAAGACCCAACTTTCTCTGATTGCAGAAGCTCAAACACACCCCGCAGAATTTAAAAATATTGATTCTCAGGAGGGAAATTCAAAACCAAACTGATTTGATTTCATGTTCTTACACATCACAACTATCTTCATTCTGCTGTTCTGTTCACAGTCAACAAGGTCCTCTTGTGGGGAGTTCATAATATGCTTTCTATCCTGCAAATTAATTTATAGACAAACAGAATCCCAGCCCCTAACATAAACCACAACATGCCCAACTTGAGTCCGACAAGGGGACAGATCATCCCTCTCCCTGTCTGCATCATGACTATACTATCAGTTAAAGGCAACAATCCACCAAAACAACAACGCCTAAAAAGAGTATTCAAAATGATGGTGGTGGTGACACTGCAGAATGCTTGAAATACTTTAAATCTGATGAAAACTATCACCTGAATAACTGATATAATTAAGTATAAAGGACCACATACCTCATCCCCATACTGTATACATATTGTAGTCCTCATCTCCCAACAGGTAATTTTATCCCACTTCACCAGAGTGATTTTGTTGCAGGTTGAGAGACTGAGACAAATGTTTTAATTTCAGTTTTAATATTTGTTGCTGCAGCATCTGATTTAGTGAATTCTGCAATTTTGCACTTTTGCTACAAAACATAAGATGAAGAATATGGAAATATTTTGATGTTAAACCCCCTCTGTCAGCGATAAGGAGTCGGCAGTTTTAAATGTGAGTAGGAAGCAAATCAGAACGTCTGAGCAAGCACCTGTGAAACAAAGCTTTCCTTTGCATCCCTACAGTGGAGTTCAGTCTGAAGAGCTGGAGTCATACAGGCACAACGGAGACATATGTTTCTGTCAGACGGTGTTAGGCTGGATTCTCACGGAACGCAGATGCCATTAGAAATAGATGTCACAACATTCCTGGATGAATCAGTTTTAGCTGCAACAATCTGCTGACTTCCATCCATCACAGTCTGTGGAAACAGAGTGTAGCTCCGATACACATGCCTCAGTTCATTTCCTCAGTCGTTTAATTGGCAGTCTTGATTTTAGCTTTTCTGTTCCTCACTTGACATGCACAGCTTGTTCCTTTTAAA